AGAGAGAGAGAGAGAGAGAGAGAGAGAGAGAGAGAGAGAGAGAGAGAGAGAAAAGAAGAAAGTCGCACGGCCCTCCTGTAAAAACAGAACGCCTGTCCCTCCTCCCCCTCCACCCTCCATCCCCGTCGTGTCTATCATTTCCCCCATTAGGGCCCGTCCGGTTAGGTCCCCAATGAGTCAAGGACAATAAAAAGTCACCAGCAATTTTGCAAGGGCACCCAGACCCTCAAAAACGGTTTGGGCAACCAAACAACAAATTTTGATTTTTTGGAGAATCAGGCCCACCCGGACCCACCAGACTGGACACCCGACCCGGACATCCAGACCTGGACTGTCCGGATCGGGATCCGGACGTCTGGTTGGCAACCATGATAGCACCTGACCAATTCTGTCAAAATATAGTTTATCATCTACTACCTCGCCAGCACCACTTCCGCTCCGTGAGAACTGAATTACTCCACTCCTGTAACGAGGCAGAGGCAGAGGCAGAGTAGAGAGGCTGAGGGAGAGAGAGGAGAGGGTGAGAGCACACACAGACACTCACTCAACTCGACGCAGACTCGACAAGGCTCGACGGACATATACACGAAGTGGCGAAGTTGCAAAGTCGCAGTCTTTGATTCCCGAACACAATGTCGAAGCAAGTCACACTAAAGCACAAGCACTGAGGCCGAAAGCTGAATGCCTGTACTGGGCTTGAGTCCGGTCTTAAGTACCGGACTCGAGTTCAGTCCGGAGGGCAGAAGTGCCATTGCCTGAGGACTGAACTGAGAATCGAAAGTCTGAGTCTGGGCGCCAAAATGTCGGATGGCGCCAAGTGTCGAAATCCGAAAGTGCCAAAGGAGGGATTTGAAAACGGGCGCCAACTGCAGAGGGCGCCAACAGTCAAAAACCGAAGAGTAGGAAAAAAAATAATAATAAAAAAAAATAGCAGGCTGGCGGGTGGTACCCCGCGGACCAGGGATCGAGCCCTGGCTGAGTAAGTAACACTATCCCCTCCCTCTAGAAGGCAACGTCCCGGCTGCCAAAAGCCATGAAACAATGTTGTAGTCTGTGAGGGACGTGACGGGGCCGATCACTGGTCAACATGTCAAAAGGAAGAGGGGTATAATGTGGGTGGCCTGGGTCGGGGAGTAAGAGGGAACAGGGTTATCCTATCAACAAGCTAAGGGGTTTTGCAGGGTATTTCTACTGATGTGCTAAGGGGGATGGGAAGCACAGGGAACAGGGTAATCCTACTGATGAAGCACTAGGAGGTCTTGAAAGGTGTCACGGAAGTGTCGGTGAGAAAGCAGTCTTCAACAGGTCTGTGATGTGGACGGTGAGAGCTTCAGCTTGAATGTACCAGTAGCAGGATGTGTCCGGTACTCGGATCCGGTGCTGAGGTCTGATCCGGATAGCACGTCGCAGACTGATCTTGATGTCCCTGTCAGAGGTGCTGCTCCAGAAGTCTGCGAGTCCAAGGTGCCGGCCAAAGGGAACAACATGGTGGCCAACCAGCTGTCTTATCTCCTCGTACTAAGTTGCAGCATGCCATCATCCTCGTGCGCTTGCCATTAGATCCATTATCGCCGGCGACGCGCACGGGCCACATAGGGAACTTGGACAAGAGGGACAAGGATGTGGCGGAGGACAGATGGGAGAAGGGGGCGTGACAGAGGCAAGAGGAGATCAGACAGAGGGAGGTCAAGGGGCAAGGGCTTTGCTGGGGACAGGGGTGTGTGTAGGGCAGGAATGCGGGGTTTTGGCGGGGTCAAGGTGGGGTTTATGCAAGGGTTTAAGGTTGGGGATGTACCTAGGATATAGGGTGAGCGCGATCATAGCCGCGAACAAGTTTCATAGCGTTCTTGAGATTAGAGAGAGGTTCCCATGTAGATTCTTCATCGCGGTATCCGGTCCATTTGACTTTAAATTCTTTGATAGGTTCCGGATGGTCTGATACCTGTGTAGTTCGTCGTCCTATGATGGATTCTACTATGAATTCTGGGCCTGTGGGAAGCATGATCGGTGTAGGTCGGGGGTAAGGTCGGTCAGCGAATTGGGGTGGGGATTCATGATACTCTTTTAGGTATTCTATGTGGAAGACAGGGTGGACACGACTCATGTCAGGGGGGAGTTGGAGTTTCTAGTTGACGGGGGAGGTTTTTTCAATGATGGGGAAGGGTCCGAGCCATTTGTTCGAGAGTTTCTTTGACAATCCATGTTCGAGTTCAAAGCATTTGGCGGAGAGCCAGACTTTGTCCCCTACTTTGAATGGCAAGTCTCGTCTGTGTTTGTTAATCTTGTTTGCTTGTTGTTCTTGTGTTCTTTCAAGGGCTTCGGTTGCTTCTCTGAGGAGTCGATTCATTGTTGCTACCCATTCATTGAGGGAAGGGCAGGGTGTGAAGGGGTTGAGCTGTGAGGGAAGCAGGAAGTCGGAGGGCAAGCGAGGATGGTAGCCAAGGTCGAGGTAGAATGGGGACATGCCAGTGGAAGGGCAGACGGCATTGTTATAGGCAATCTTGGCGGCAGTGAGCAACTGGTCCGAGTCATGTTGGTGTGGATGACAATACTTTCGCAGGATTCTTTGGAGTGTATCGTTCATCTTCTCTGTTTGTCCATCGGCCTGGGGGTGGAATGCAGTGCTATACTTGAGTGTGGTTCCATATGCTTTGAAGAGGTGTTTCCAGAATTGTGAGAGGAAGCGGGGATCATGGTCACTGACGATGTTCTCGGGGAGGCCGTGATGGCGTGTGACATGATCGAAGAAGAGGGTGGCGACGTCTTTGGCACTGTGCGAAGTCGTGCAAGGAATGAAGTGGGCACGTTTGGTCAAGCGGCAGACAATGACGTAGATGCAATCATGTCCGCGGTCGGTCTTGGGGAGGCCGCACACGAAGTCCATGGAGATGGACTGCCACCGGTGAGTTGGGATGGGCAATGATTGGAGCTTGTCAGGTTTGGCCCGTCGAGGGGTTGACAAATTGACACGTGGGGCATGAGCGAATGTATGCTTTAACGTCGACGAGCAGGGAAGGCCAATAGAAGTAGCGGGAAATGGTGTCGAAGGTTTTCTGGAAACCGAGGTGTCCTGCGGTCTTGGCGTCGTGATGCTCGGCCAAGAGTTGAGTACGGAGACCACGTGCGTCGAGGATGCAAAGTCGGTGAGTGCCTTTGGTATCGATGTAGAGAAGGTTGTCGTGAAGGGAGTAGTCGGGGACTGGGTCAAGATCGCGGAGCTTGTTGTAGATGGTGGCGAAGTATGGGCAAGAGAGGTAGCCTTGGGTGTATCCGTGATGGAGTGATGGGAGGAGTTGGATATGAGTCGTAGCCGCGTAGGGTTTCTCGGGGGGCTTGTGGTCGGGTCGTTGAGAGAGGGCATCCGCAACGCGGTTGCTTTTGTCGGGGGTATGGCAAATGGTGAATGTGAACTGGGCAAGGAATTCTAGCCAACGGGTTTGGCGTGGAGTGATATCTTTCTTGGAGAAGATGGAGGAGACGATGGTGTTGTCAGTGCGGATGGTGAAGTATTGGTCGTCAAGGTACGGGCGGCAGACTGTGAGGGCATGAATCACGACAAGGAGTTCCTTCTCGTTGGAGGGGTAATTCATCTCCACGGGAAGGAGCTTCTTGCTTGCGAAGGCGATGGGGTATTCGCCGAGTGGAGCCTCGGGGTGAGTGGGCGAGTCCTTGATGGAGGGAGTCTCGGCGGTGTCACAGGGGAAATGTTGGGACAGTACGACTCCAATGGCGAAGTCGGAGGCGTCAGTGGTGACATAGAAATGGCGCGTGGGGTTGGTGATCTTGAGGATAGAGGCTGTGGTGATGGTTTGCTTGAGTAAGTCGAAAGCATGTTGGAGGCGACCGTTCCAATTGAAGGGCTCGTCCTTGCGGGTGAGTTCGTGGAGAGGGTAAGAGATCTCGAAAAAGTTGCGAATGAACGGGTGGTAATAGTTGGCAAGGCCGAGGAAGGAACAGAGTTGGAGGAGGGTCTTTGGCAGGAGGTACTCGATGAGGGATGTGACCTTCGGCGGGTTCATACGGATGCCTTCAGCGGAGACAATGTGGCCGAGGTATTCGACGCTCGAAGCAGCAAACGGACATTTGTTGAGCTACTCGAAGGTGGGGCTAAAGATGAGGATGTCATCAAGGTACACGATGACGCAGACTTCGAGGAGGTCACGGGAGATGCGATTCATGGTGGACTGGAATGTGGCGGGGGCATTGGTGAGTCCGAAAGGCATTACGAGGAACTCATAGTGCCCGAACCGAGAGCGGAATGGGGTCTTATGGGTGTCCTCCTCGCGGATACGGATTTGGTGGAAGCCACTACGAAGGTCAATCTTGGTGAAATATTTGGCTCCACAAATTCGATCAAGGAGCTCAGAGATCCAAGGTAAGGGGTACTTGTTCTTGATCATGATCCGGTTCAAGGCGCGGTAGTCTGTGCACATGCGGAGTTCCTAAGTTCCACCTTTCTTAACAAAAAGGCAGCTAGTATCGAAGGGAGATGAACTCGGCTTAATGAACCCTTTTTCAAGGAGCTCATTGAGTTGCCGCTTCATTTCTTCGGCTTCAGGGACCGAGAGTTGGTATGGAGGGCGGCAAGGTGGAGAATGTCCGGGCTCTAAATCGATGGTATGGGATACGCCACGATCCGGAGGTAATCCGGCAGGCAAGGACTCAGGGAAGACGTCTTTGAACTCGTCGAGGATAGAGGTGGGGGCGGGGTCATAGGGGGGGGCTTGATCGAGTTTGTCCGTTGGGAGCAAGTCCTCTGGACTTTCACGGTCAAGGACAAGGCAATAGTAGGCGGAGTCGGGGTTCATGCGGGCCATATGGAGGAATTGATGCGGGGTGACGAAGCCTTGGAAGGTTGGATATGGGAGATAGGGAATGTCGATGGTTGTGTCGGGGGAGTTGGTGAGGAGGAGGAAGTTGGGGTGGTGCGTATGGCATGTAGCGGTCCAGCCACGGKGTTCCTAAGACGATGTCGCACATCAAATGCATGACATCAAATGAGACCTGACTGCGGAGTGTTCCTACTGTCAAGGTGGTCTTGGGAACCGTGCAGTCCACTGCGACGGCCATGTCTTTGTCCCCTAGACGGATTGTAATCGGGGAGTCGTAGCCGATAGAGGTAAGACCGGCTTTCCGGACACACGCGTCGGTGATGAAGTTACCGGTGGCTCCTACGTCGAGGAGGGAACGAAACTTAGTGGTAGACGCACCAAGGGTGGGGGCGATGAATTTGAGGTGGAAACGGGATGAGTTGGCGGTGGAGATGATGGTGTTGAGGCGGCGTTGTTCATTGCCTAACCGAACAAGCCAATCGAGTCGAGCTTGTTCCTCAACAACATCGGAGAAGGTGACAGAGGATGGATTTGGAATGAGGGTGGAGGAGCACGAAGCAGTGGGGGGGTCTCAAGTGATGAAGGTTGCGACGCCTCCTGGTCATCCAATGGAGAGGGTGTCACCGGGGAGGGGGGAGGCAAACGGATTGTCGATGCCAAATGGGCCATCGGTGGGACGGGGGATGTCACTGGCGGGTTGGCCGGCAGATGAGTTGTCGATGTCGGGACGAGGTCCTGGGGACTGTGTTCAGAACGAGGAGGGACCCGCGCCCGCGGAGGGGGGTGACGCGGCGGTTGCGGGTCGAGGGGCCGAGGATTGGCGGGTGAACTGTCCAGCATTGGGGCAGTTAGTTTGTTGGTGTCCTAATTGGCGGCAACGGAAACATCCACCCTTTGCCTGAAGGTAGGCTCTTTCCTCGGGTGTGAGTTCCTTGCGGAGGCCCCGGGGGGTGGTCGGGGAATGGCGGCTGGAGCGATCTCTCTTTTCCATTCGCATGAGGTGAATGGCAGAGAGTTCGTCAGGAGAGAGTGATGTGGTGTCTAGTGGATCGGAGAGGGTGTCAAGGTCAGGGGAGGTGAACTCGTCCGAGGAGGTGGTGGAGGTGGTGTCCTCGGAGGCGATGTTGTGGAAGAAGCGAGGGCAGGGAGGGGCCGATGTAAGTGCGGTCTTGTAGGGGGAGAGGATGCGGTCGAGTTGGAGGGTACGAGTGAGGAGGTCGACGAGGGTCATGGGGGGCCCGCGGACAAGGGCGACCACTAGGTCTTCGCGGCAGACGCGCTTAACGCGGGAGATGAAAACGAAATCGCTGACGACGTCAAAGGGGATATGTTGACGAAGCGAGCGGATGTATTGCACAAAACGATCGGTTGGTCCGTTTTGTTGGAGCCGAGAGAATTGGTCGATATAGTCGTCGACCATTTTCTGTGGGCGGAAGGTGGAGGTGATGAGGGTGGCCCACTCAAGGAAGGTGTGAGGCGGAGACTGGCGTGATGGCGATTAGACATTTCCGTGTACCACCAGCGAGCAGCGTTGTCTAGACGTCGGTCACCAGGGATGGGGAGCCAGTGGATGACGGGGATGTCGTGGAGGAAGAAGGCTTGTTGGAGTTTGGTGAGAAAGAGGAGGACATCCTCATGGGGTTGGCCCGAGAAGGTGGGGATTTCATTGATGCGGAATGATGGGGGGATTTTGCCTTCTCTAGGGTTAATGGTGGCAAGGGTATTGAAATCAAGGGTGGGAGAGGGAGAGTCGAACAGGGTGAAATCATTGGCGGGGTTGGTGGGGATGAGAGCATTTGGGGGAAGTAGTGGAGGAGTGGGATACACAACTTGTGGAATGATTTGGGTATAGTTGGGGATGGTTGAGGTAATAGTGGAGGTGGATAAGAGCGGTTTTGATTGGGGGGGGACGGTTGATGACTGTGTGACGGCAGGGTTTGGCGTCTTGGGCGAGGGTGGAGGTGGAGCGACCATGGTGAAGGTAGTGGTGGATGAGGGTGGGGGTGTACAGGTGGACGGTGTTGGTGTGGAGGTCGAAGCGGAGGCTTGTCCAGAGGCGGGGGGGGGGTGGGGGGGGGGGGAAGGGGGGGTGGTCGTGGTGACGGCCGTGATGGCGGGGGAGTTTGTGGCGACACGATCGGAGTGTTGATGGTGGGGAGGGGGGATTTGAGGGCAGTCAACGTTTGGAGGGGAGTTGCGAGTTCCGGGGTGGTGGTGGTCGAAGTTGGCTGATCGCTTACGAGTTCGTGGGCAATGCTGTTGACGGAGTTGGAACGAAGATCAGACATGTTGATGGAAGATTGGGCCATGGTGGGGGAAGAAGGGTTGGATGACGTGGCCGGAGCGGAAGTGGAGGTGGTAGCAGCGGGTGTGATAGCGGCAACAGTGGCGGCAGTAGCGGCAGCGGCAGCGACAGCAGCAACGGCGCACTGGGAGGTCTTGGTTTGGCGTGGTGGCATGTGGAGATGGGGGGGACAATTCCTATTTACAAGAATAGAGCGCCGTCAAGTGATTTAGCAATGAAGGTAGCAGAGAATCGCAGAGCAAGAATTAATTTGGAATAAATTAATTTGAATTTATTCAAAATTAATTCGAGAGTGCAGGGTCACCAGCCCGTACGTACGGAGGTCCCCGGGCAGACCTCCGTACGTACGGGCGTTCGAGGTCCCGTACGGGGTCCGAACCCGACGGCATTCGGCCCCCGCCAAAAATTATTACAGGGCCTAAAAATAATATTTTTTTCTGATTGTTTTTTTGTGAGTTCTCTATGACGTGAGGTACACGCCTGTAAATTTTCAAGTCATTTGGATAAGCCAAATAAGAATTAAAAATCGCCAAAGATGGCGGTCTCAAAACGTGCTCGCCCACATATTTTTTCACTTTTCACTTTTTTTTTTCACTTTAGTTCGGGGTCTAAACACTTTTATTATTTTTTGAAACTTTTTAAGTGGGTTTTGTATTATGTGAAGGACACATCTGTAAATTTTCAGGGCATTTAGCTATGTCAAAAAAAAAATGAAAAATCTCCAAAGATGGCGGTGTCGAAAACATGCTCGCGCACTCACTAAATTTAATTCTCTTTTTATTTTTATTTATTTTTATGATTAGTATTTGTTTTCCGTACTTTATTTTTATTTCAAAATTTGGTAAGGAATTCGGATGTAATGCTCAGACAAATCTTGTTTAACTTATTTTTCTCCATAACATATCTTTTTTTCAGATTTTTTTGATGACGTTTTTTTTTTTTTCTTTTTTTTTTTTTTTGGGTTCGCGTTCGGCTCGAACGGCCGAACGCATCTTCAAGGGGTCCCATACGTTCGGGCGTTCAGGTTTGGCCGTTCGGCCCATCTCGAACGCCGGTTACCCTACGCGAGTGTATTTTTCAAGAAAATACGAAAGCGAAATTTTCCGGAATTTCCAAATGAAGAAAAAAAAAATCGAATAAATTTCGGGGTAAAATTGTATAATTTCGAAAAAGGGTGATTAATTCCGAGTAAAAGAGATTAATTCAATCGTGAATTAATCGAGTTTAGTTGAAATTAATTCAGGAGTTCAGAGAAAAAAAAAAAGGACGTACTTCTGAAAAGAGAATTCCAAAAAACAATTGCAAAAAAGATTTTTTTGAATTTCAATAAAAATTGCAAAAAGGAATATGTGAATTAAAATACTGAGAAAAAAAAATAATTAGAATTATTTTTGAATTTCCAAAAGAAATATCGAAAAAGAATTTAATTAGTTCTTACGTATTTTCAAAACTTTCGAAAAATAATTAATTAATTCGAACGAAAAGAATTAATTCTAAAATATTTTTGAATTGCAAGAATTTTGAAAAAGAATTAATTAAAATGATTTTTGAATTTCGAAGATGAAATGCCGAGAAAGAATGCTTACTCCTATGTATTTTCGAAATTTTTGTGAAAGAAATGTCGAGATAGATCATTGATTAAGTATTTTCGAATTTTCAAAAATTTTAAAATGAATTCTAGAAAAATAATAATAATAATAATAAATAAAGGAATAATTTTCGAATGAACGAGTTTTGATGTAAATCGAGGGCGGAGCGATCTATCTACGATTGAATGGGTGGTAGCATGGTACGTAGGGTACGGGTAGATTGATGATGATGATGATGATGATGATGATGATGATGATGGTAGGGGGGAAACGTGGGGGGCTGGAAGTCGCGCACGGATTGCACGTGGGAGGGAGGAAGTCGGGGGAAGGAGGGGAGCGACGGGGGGGGAAGATCGCGCGGGGAAAGAAGTGCGCGGGCTGGAGGTAGCGGCGCGCGGAGAGAGAGGTGCGCGGGGTATCACGTGGGAGGTGGGAAGAAGGTGGGGAAAGCGGGAGCGGGGTCGGGATCGGGGAGACAGGACGAAGGTAGGGGAACTGGGATCGAGATCGGGGAGACAGGAAGAAGTTGGGGAGGGAGGAAAAAGGATCACGCTGGGGGGGGAAGAAGATAGCGTGGGGGTCGAGAGTCGGGGGATTGCCCGTGGAATCGGGATCGGGGAATCGGAGTTGGGAAGGGCGGGGGGGTTCCGCGCGGGGGATCGCTAAGTCGCGGGAGGGCGAGGAGTGGGATTGGGTAGGCAGCGGGGAGGAATAGCGCGCAGGAAGAGGTGGAGATGGCGCGTAGGAGGAAGGGGGAATGAAGACAAGGAAGAAGACGACGAAGGAGGGATGACGGCGACGACGAGGAGATGGAGGAAGAAGGGGGGGGAAGGAGGGTTGAAGAGGACGAGAAAGAACAAGAATCGAGGGAGGAAAGGAGGAGGAGGAACGAGGAGGAAAGGAAGCGATGACGACGATGACGAGGGGAAGAAGAAGAAGAAATGAGGGGGGAGGAGAAAAAAAGGAAAGTTTATTGGTCATTTACCTGCGCGTCGGCTTCGGGATCAGTGGCGTTGCAGCAGCGACGAGGCAGGCAGGGAGGTGCTGATGTGGCAATGGCGACGACGACAGGTACGAGGCGCTGATGTGGCAGATATGATGACGACGATGGCGATGATGTGGCAATGACGGCGACGACGATGACGTGTCAACGACGGCAACAATGATGGAACAGGGCGGGAGGGAGGGCCGAAGCCGCTCCGATACCAGTGTGACGAGGCAGAGGCAGAGGCAGAGGCAAAGTAGCGAGGCTGAGGGAGAGAGAGGAGAGGGTGAGAGCACACACACACTCACTCAACTCGACGCAGACTCGACACGGCTCGACGGACGCATACGCGAAGTGGCGAAGTCGCAGTCTTCGATTCCCGATGTCGAAGCAAGTCACATTGAAGCACAACCACTGAGGCCGAAAACTGAATGCCCGTACTAGGCCTGAGTCTAGTCTAAGTACCGGACTCAAGTTCAGTCCGGAGGGCAGAAGTGCCATTGCCTCAGGACTGAACTGAGAATCGAAAGTCTGAGTCTGGGTGCCAGAATGTCGGATGGCGCCAAGTGTCGAAATTCGCAGGTGGTACCCCGGAGCAGGAAATAACAAAAAAATAATAATAAAATAGCAGGCTGGCGGGTGGTACCCCGGACCAGGGATCGAGCCCTGGCTGAGTCCGTAACAACTCCACTTTCACGTGGCATCCAGTCTCTCCTTTCCCGCGTTCTGCAATATGGGAGAACACGAGAAAGGAGAGGGAGAATGCCAAATCAGAATAGGTCAAGCACGCATCCTCTTCCTCCGCTTCCTGCTCCTCGTCTCCCTCCTCCTCCTGCTCCTACTCCTCCTCCTCCTCTCCCTCCTCTTCTTGTCATGTGGCATCTTCCCACTCCTTTCCCGTGCTCCGCAATTTGGGATAACGTGGGAAATAGGTTGCACCACCTTCTTTCTTCCTCAAACGATGACGGTGGATGGCGAGAGAAGGGGAACAGTGGGGAACGACAGTCAGCAAAGAACGAGATGGGGAAGAAGAAGAGGAAGAAGACGAAAAACAAAGGCTTCTTTTTTCTTCTTCTCCTTCTTCTTTCCTCTGCCTTCTTCTCGTCCTCCTCAGCATCTTCTTTGAAGTTGTTCGTTGAACTTTGTCATCGATGCGGTGTGCTCTTCTTTTTTTTCTTCTTTGAAAAGTTGGTGCAAGTTGGCAGTTTGTCACTGGGTGTTCAATGTTTCGTAACTTTCATCAGAACTTCATCGACACTTGACCTTCATCACTTCCTTTGAAGTTCATCAGTTCTTCACATTTACTGTCATTTAGGCAGATTTCAAAGTTCGGCTCAAAAAAACAGAAGAAGAACCCCCCCATCACCACCAGGAAACTAGTCTGCGGCAGGGCTGGTCCCCGGATGGACCGGGGACCCCTACCCCATCCGCGGTCCTCCCGGTTGGACCGGCCGGTGGCCCAGGCCGGTTCCCTCCCGGTCGCCCCCAGCGCATTTTCGCTGGGGCCTGAAATGTTTTTTTTGGAGGCGCGTATGTATTACAGAGGCCTTGTTGGGGTGGGCCCTGCCCTGCAATTTCGTTACCGGGTCCTGTAGGCCCCGATTTTTGAAGTCCAAAAAGTGGCCAACCTTAGCCGCTGATCGTTGCAGATCAGCGGCAAAGATCGACCACTGTTTTGAATCAGTTCGGGCGGGAAACGGAATCGCGCAGCAGGGGAAAATGCATCGTGGATTCAACCCCGCTCGCCTCCACTCTGTGCAGCCACTCCGTCGTCGCCTCCGACAGCCAGCCATGCCATTGTCGCCACCGCCAGCCAGCCGCGCCATCACTCGGTGCAGCCACGCCATCGTCGGTAGGTCTCCGCGGGGTGCAGCACCGCCATCGTCGCCTCCACCAGCCAGCCGTGCCATCGCGCCCCCCGCCAACGAGCCACTCCATCACGCCCCCTGGTTTGTTTCTTTTTCTTCTTCTTCTTCTTCTTCTTCTTCTTCTTTGTGGTCACTCTCCTCGCCCGTTAGCCACAGCCGTCCTCTGCTTCTTCTTCTTCTTCTTCCTCCTCCTCCTCTTCTTCTCCTCCTCCTCCTCCGTTAGCCATAGCCATTTAATTTTTTTATTTTTTTTCCGTTGCTACTTTAACTCCTTTGCGTTCTTCTTCTTCTTCTTCTTCCTCCTCCTCCTCCTCTTCTCTCCCCTCTTCTTCATCATTTTCTTCTTCCTCTTCCTCCTCCTCTTCTTCTCCTCCCTCGTCTTCGTCATCTTCTTCTTCTTCCTCCTCCTCCTCCTCTTCTTCTCCTCCTCCTCCGTTAGCCATAGCCGTTATATTTTATTTTATTTTTTTCGAAGCTGCTTCATCTCCCTTGTGTTCTTCTTCTTCTTCTTCTTCTTCTTCTTCTTCCCCCTCCTATTCTTCTCTCCCCTCTTCTTCGTCATTTTCTTCTTCCACCTCCTCCTCCTCCTCCTCTTCTTCTCCTCCTCTGTCGTTAGCCATAGCCGTTTAATATATATATCGTCACAAACAGAACTGCCCGGTAAACCGTAGGCAGAGAGAGATATTATATATATATATTGTCACATCACTACAAACTAAAAGAGCGCACTTTGCGGAACAAAGAATAAAAGCAAAAAACGGGCACAGTGATAACATGCAAAAATAAAAATAAAAAGAAAAACAAAAAGAAAAAACAAGGGCAGATTGAAACC